ATTTGATTGTGTGTCTCTTCTTCATCCACAGGGACTCGTCCTTTGGGTGCCACCAGCATGATATGGTTAACAGGAGGACCAAACAAACAGAAAACCAATGCAGGTGTTCTTTGGTACAAGTATGTCAAATGTAGTCTCAATCACTCACACTGCAAACCTGATGAGAAACCATGGCTTTCCAGGATATATGGTAGAAAGTGATTAGAGAGAGAACACGTTTTTTTGTGACACACTTTCTTTGGTTTGTTAAAAAAGGAAATTCAAATTAATATTCCATTGAAACTTATCTACAACATGATTTAAAGTCAAAATTTGTTTTTGGGAATTATTTATTGAAACCTACATGTTTATTTTATCATCTTAGTTAAATGTATTTTTGCAATATTTTTATCCTCATAAAACCTTTTTCAAAGCTTTGTCATCCACAAAGGAAAAACTTCAAAATATGTGTTTCAAATAACCTTAGTCCAGTGTCTTCAATCTGTTTACACATAATACAACTTTACACTTTCAAACTCACTGCAGTGCAAAGTGATGTTATTTATACGCAGATTGAAGAGAATGAGTTGCAAATTCATATAGGAATAATTCAAAAAGACACAAAAAAACATATCCTCTGTCTATAATATATAATATAACAGGCTGCCTTAGCAACAAAACCATGCTGCCTGGATCTAAGAGTAATCCATTTCAAGTGCAAGTGACGCTGGATGCCTGCGGCTGATACAGCACTGCCTCCACCCTCACCCCCCCATTCATCCATTCATAGGTTCACTCTGCTGCACCACGTCTCCTGCGCTGGACCTCTTCAGTCACACACCATGAGAGGTCCATTTTGAAAAGGGTGCACTTTTCCCCCCGACGCAACAAGAGCATCCCTCGGTCGGACGGCGGTGACTCATTGCGCACGGGCAGACAGGGGGGTGCATTTTTACGCTTCGGTGTGGAAGATCGATACATCTAATATCGTGGTGGAAGGCGTGGCTTGGTGTCACCGACATCAGGGCTGCTTTTCCATATTCATTTTTAGGGTTTTGGTTTTGCCTCATCTCACTGGCACGGACGCACCCCCAAAAGGAGCGAGCGGGACATACAGCGTCTCTCAAGGTAAGAAGCCCCCCTCCTCTTCTCATTACACGGGTTTCATGCGTATCAGATGTAGAAATTGTCCGCAAGGTCATATCATATCAGCAGATATCAGTGGCCTCTATGATATTGGGCTTGGACAGGACTCTAGATGTGGGCTACAGTACATGACATATATCTTAATTGGCCCGAGTGGTCGTGTGCAGCACTTTAATTTATGTACCTCGATTTCACATTCAGCACACACTTTCTGTTATTCCTAAACTGCTGCAGGCTAAATACACCGGGGCGTTTTAACTGTTGAATAAACACACAGGATTTATGCTCCCCACAAATATTTGAACTTTGAAAACAGACATGCAGATGCATAGTGGGAGAGCACTAATGAGCTACACCTGCACAGGACCCAGCACAGCAGGTGTTTTATTCAAGTTACAAATTATTATTTTTCGTACATCAAGAGATAGATTTTTAGTTATTATTTGGTTATCTAGACATGAATGTGACCAGATCTGTAAATACATAATGTGTGTTGTAGTGTAGACTTGTGACGATGCTTGTTTTTATGAGTATAGGAATAACCTAAATGACAAGGCTGGGTTTAACCGTACTTTCACGAGCGTCACATTATGCAGATCAAAATCAGTAATGTCGCTAAAATGGAGATAGCCAACTTGCTCCCTGTGGAATAGTGAATTATCAATGGTGGTTCTTTCTCCTTTTTGTATGAAGCCTATTGATGGTTTTGTAAGATTAAAGGAAGGCTCGCTCAACTTGCAATTATTTTTGACTGACTCCAAACTATCGGATACTTCAGATGTTTGCTGAGTGCTGGCACATCAGTTGAAGTGGCTCAGATGCTTTTACACTTTAGGAGACAGGCTGAGCTGAATTCACTCATCAGGTCTGGGATCAAGAGATTTGTGAAAGTCAAATGCTTAGTAATATATTGATTATAAGATCAAATACACATTATTCTAAGCGTTCAAACCTTTTCTGTTTATGCTTCACTTAATGTGACCTGAGAGAAAAGAGGAGTTAAACTATTTCCAGCAACACTTTAGGTGTGTCTAAATTCTCATATCATTTCAAATAATCATTGATTTACACTTGATGCTAACAGGGCTATGCAATTTATAAAAGAACACAGTATAGTGAACAATTTAACTGATCCAACAACAAGATGACAGGACTCCCTTCTGTGAGCATAAAGAAGGGTTTTGACCAGCTTTGTTATACTGACACTCCTTGTACTGTAACACTGATTATTATCGGTATTTATTAATTGAATTTAGGAATAAGATAAGATAAGAGAGATAACATTTTCTGCACACTTCTTCAGGATAACCCCAAGTAATTATGTTTTGTATTAGTTGTACAATTGGCTTTCTCCTCAATTGAATTTAACCTGAAGCTATTTTCACTAGTGTTGTGCTGGCTTTTATAGTAAACCACTTATAAGAGCCTCAAATAAAAGAGTTATTGACAGGGAATGCAGTACAGTGGTCCATTTATTGTCTCAATTGAACCCATGTATTTCTGCAGTAAATGCAAGAAAATAAATCTCCAATTTCAGTGTATAAGACATTCAAACTAAAATGGTTTATATAATCATTTGAATCATACTTTGATTGAAGTTCACAAGCAACTTTAAGGGGGAAAACACACTACAGTACATTCATCTGAATTCCAAGCAGTAGTTGAATTAGAGACATTGATTGTTTGCCTTTATTAAAACAATGATTATTTGAATGTGTGTTAGTGGACCTGGGACCTGGACTGCATTTGACCTAATGCTTACATAATCTTGGCCTGGACTTCCATGTGAGTCTGGTCTGATACGTTTTTTTATCTCAAACATTTAAAATAAAAACTAAGCCAATTTCTATTTTCCTCCTTTTAGGGACTCACACAAAGGCCCCATCTGTTTTCATCTTTGGATTACAACAATATTTAAAGACTGAAACAGTGAGTCCAGCATGGGAACCAACCCAAAAAGGACAGTGACAGTCCAGATGGTGCCTCAGCTGGCTGTGATAGACACGCTGGGCAATAAGGAGCCGAATGCCAACTGGGCGAACGAGCCCGACCTCCAACTCTCTCAGGTTTGTCCAAAAACAACCCTCACATCTCCCGATCACACACAGGATAACTCATCTCTGACTGCCGCTCCCGATATCACACAAATCCCCCAAACTGCTTCAAAGGGAGGAGAACCAGTCTGCAGCGCTGTGTCAGACAAACCAGTACCGACTAATGGAAACCAGACGAAGACAGAACCTGTGACAGGAGGAGATCAACAGATGGAAGACCTGTCTCTAACAAGCCAAAGTGTGGGTGAAGCAGGACGAGACCAGAGGGATTCAAACGCTAATATTAAAATGTTTAGCCAGGCTGATAAAAAGGATATCTTTAAGGCAGACACAGATCTAACAGCCTCAAAGATCGACATGCAGAACAATGATTGCAGAATAAAGGGGCCGAGTGCAGCAGAGGAGGAATGTGCAAAGTTGGCATCCTCCTCACGAGAGGACAGTAATAAAAATGTACCTGCAAGTAATACAAATCTCAACGACCCCTGTGAATTAAGGCAAACAGCATCTGAGCCGCCACACGATAATAAAGGGAGCAGTACAGCTCCAAAAAATAAAGACACAGCTGTACCACAAAAACTTCAAGAGCCGGATCATATGTGTAGCAGCTCACAAAGCTCTGTCAGTCCGAAAGAGACTCCCAAAGCTCAACAACGCATAGAAACTACTGCAGCTTCTCATTGCTCAACTACACCTCCGTCTAAGAGCAATGATGTAGAGGTTTGGTGTGCTGATAAGACTTCAAGTTCATCACATCCAGAGAAGGACTTGCAACCAGTAAAGGAAGCACAAGTCTCTTCAGATAAACATCAACCAGCGTCTTCTCAGAAGGACTTATCCACGCTGGATGATCCCAAGGAGACTCCCAAAGCTAAACAAAGCATAGAAACTACTGCAGCTTCTCATTGCTCAACTACACCTCCGTCTAAGAACAAGGATGCAGAGCTTAGGTGTACTGATACGAATTCAAGTTCAACACATCCAGAGAACATGCCTCAAGAAAAGAAACCTCATGTCTCCTCAGATAAACATCATCCAGCATCTTCACAGAAGGACTCCTCCACTCTGCCCCAGGCGTCACAAATCATGAAGGCAGATGCGTCGGAGGAAGCCACCCAGATCAACACATCTGTCTCTGAAGGGCAGCAGCAGCTCGGCAAGCTGTTCAAGGAGGCTTCAACGATGACTTTATCCCCGTTCCCCACCCCAGTCAAGCAGCTTCATGATATGGAGGTTCAGGCGGTTGCAAACACGTGCAGCAAGGCCGTGTCCACAAGTCCCAGCCTGCTGCCTTTCTCTGTGCCTCGCAACGGTGGAGCGGTCCCCAGGGAGGCGGCGCAGAGACTGGCTGTCGTCTACCAGGCCGACGGGGGTGTGGGAATACATCAGATCAGCATGAGTCCTCTACCTACTGATCCAAGGTCAGAGAGACTCACGGTTGAGGCGGAGATGTGCCCCAACCAAAACGTCGGTGTGGTTTTTCCTTTAGAAACGTTGTCCCAGCAGCAGGACAAAAGGCTCGGAGCAAAGCCTAAAGACTCGGCTCTCTGCAACACACAGCCAGTTTATCAGATCAATATTGAACACAGCAACCCCAAGGAGCAAGGAGAGACCGGTAACTCCCAGAATGAAACAAGTGTTCAGAAGTCTACAGCCAAAACAGCCACTGCTGAGGCTCCCTCTCTTATATCAGGAAAAACCCAAGAGACAGCCGGTGCTTCCAAGGCTGGATCTGCTGACAGTAACAAAGCTGCGTTGTCTCAGGCTGCTGTTAACACCAAGCCAACTCAGGCCCCGCCAACAGCAACAAAAACAGCATCCAAGCCAGAACCAAGGAAAGTAAAAGCTGCAAGTCCGAAACAGAAGGCTAAAGCTGGCGGTAAAGCCTCGAAGAAGGAGACAAAGTCAAGCAAACAGAAGATGGAACAAGAGAGGAAGAAAGAAGAGGACGAGCTGAGGGAAAAGGGCATCCATGATGTCGTCTGGGATGAACAGGGCATGACCTGGGAGGTCTACGGGGCGTCGGTGGACCCAGAATCCCTTGGTTTTGCCATTCAGAGCCACTTGCAGTGCAAAATCAAGGAGCAAGAGAGGAAACTGGTGGTGCAGACCTCCATCAGGAAGTCGGACTCTGGTGCGGACTCGCCGGCCCACGTCAAGAAGAACAAAAGGAGGCAGCAGAACATTTTCAGGTCAATGCTGCAAAATGTCAGACGGCCAAACTGCTGCGTGAATCCCCCTTCCTCCTCCGTCCTCGAGTAGCAAAGCGCCAGAGGTAGCCAATGTCAAACTCTTCCCTTTTTCCTAGAGGTCAAAATGTTCAGCCCAGTCTCACGGCATTTCGTGTTATAGTCACGAAATTTATTTAATCTATTGATTCGTGTTCACCAACACGATTTTCGCATTTTTTTCGTGTCACAGCACGATTTTAAAAGCAATGCATTTCTATTGGTAGCATGTTTCGTGTGCACCACGTCTTTTTGTCCGGTCGGGTCTTGGAATACCAGAAGCTGTATGGTTCATAAAAACATATTCTTACTCGATATCTTACCATAAGCCTAACCCTATCCCTTTTATTTTAAATTGTATAATGTCTGAGTTTTTTTGCCGTGCGCGAGGAAAAGAAATGGCTCAGAGCCTCAGAATACTGACATCTGTATTTTATTTAATCTTTTTTTCCTTCTAATTTGTTATTATTTGGTGCAGGCACGAAACATACTACCAATAGAAATACATTGCTTCTAAAATCGTTCTGTGTCAGAATACTGAAATCTGTATTTTTTTAAATCTGTTTTTCCTTCTAAATTGTTATTATTTACATTGCTTTTAAAATCGTTCTGTGTGACACGAAAAGAATGGGGAAATGGTATTGGTGAACACGAATCAATAGATACATTTTTTGACTATAACACGAAATGCCGTGAGACTGTGTTGCTATATTTAGAATTTGGAGGTTGAAATGTTTGGTACGGCTGCAGTTTTAAACACGAGGTTTACGTTTTTGAGTTGTCGCTCAAAATACCTCAAAGAATACGTTTTTAGGGTCTGTTGGGAAGTGTGGACTTGTATCTGGAGAGGTGCATTACATACAGGATATTCTCTTTATAAAATGCATGTGTTTGTGCATATCTCTATTCCTATACAGGTGTGTGTGTTCAACAAAAACAGAATTTTCTTTGGGGGTGAACAAAGGGTCATCTTAGGTATGTTGTAAACGTCATGATTCGTACCATGCTTTGATAACACTGATGTCATTAGGGTGGTGCCAATAAAGATATTTGACTATGAGAGAGAGATGAGGTCATGATCTCTTCACACACATTTAGAAATGCTGCTTATCCAACACTCAGAAACTGAACACGCTGAGGAGGAGTCTGAGAAGCGGCCTCAGGCTTCTTCTCAGTGTGAGCTGCAGAAGACTTTAATTTACGGAAGATAAATCTCTTGAAATACATCTGATTGTCTTTTCCCGCATGGCCTTAGGTCACAGGTTTAAAATCAAACTAAGTCCCGTAAAATGAGTTTTATTTTGTTCTACCAGTACTGCTTTGGTGTAAATGAACGATTTAAATGCATTGATACAGCGAGTGGGGGTTCATCTCGCCTGATTAGTTGCAAACAGTGAAATAATTTGCTTGTTTTTAACACTTTTATTGTACCATAATGCTCAGAATAATTTTTTTAAACATCGGCGGTTCTAGATCAATATTTCTGAGGGCTAGTTATTTTATGAGAGGGGCATATCAAATGCGGGACTAAAAGAAAAAGACAGTGGTAAAGATTTTTAAATATTTAGGTTTGTATTTAGTCTCAAAACAAAAAGCCATGGTGTTTTCTCCTTTCAGAGGGGGGCATGATTTTAAACGTCAAACACTGAATACTGGAACAGGAATGATGGTTTAGAAATATCAATTGAAGTGCGAAATATCAGTGGAGAGGAGGAATATGTTGGCATTCACAACGCCCCATACATGACTTTGGAAATGTAGCGGTTTCATTGTTACTTGAACTTAATAGCGTCCAAATAATCATGTCAACACCTGGTCTGCAGGTCACCTCATGCATAATTCCTAAGAGGACACTTTAAGAAGAATTTTCTCAACACCATTTAAACCTCACTGCATCGCACTGCATGTCTCCGTATCACGTGATTCTTCGTGACTCCAGTACACCTAACGCAAACAAATAAGACTTTGTAGCTCCGCAAAATGAAGGGGATTGAAACGGTGTGAAATGATCCAGCCTTCTGAGCTGTGAGGGGATCAGCCCCTTCCTACATCCAGGCCTTGGTTGAACCATAAACTCCACGTGCACTTCGCTCGGCGTCAGCCAATCAGCTTGCGACTCCATCTCTGCGAGTGTGACCCAGGTACACCTGAAAAACACACTGGTTGCTATCCTGGCTCCTAAATGATGGAATGAGCTCTCCATTGACATCGGGACATCTGAAACTCTGCATATGATCCGTCGCAAACTGAAAACACTTCTGTTTCCATTGTACGGAAACTCTTTAAATAACTTTAAAGCAAAGAGTTAGCTTAGGCCTTGTCACTAATTCCCCAGCACTTACTATGGTATGACTCGCTTGAAGTGAATATATCTTTCCTTGTTGTTCGGAGTTTGGATCTCTATGGTTTTTGTACTTATTGTAAGTTGCTTTGGATAAAAGCCAAATGTCATATAACCCCTTTTCCCACTTGCAGCAGAACACACTGTCATTTAAACATCACTGCATCGTATGTCTCCATATCACACGGTCCCTCTTGACTCCACTTAAAACAATAACGCAAACAAATAAGACTTTGCAGCTCGGCAAAAGAAAACAAAGGGGGTTGAAACTGTGTGAAGTGACCCAGAAGAGTCAACTCTTCAAGGTTGTTTGGAGGAGATCTACAGATCAGCGCTGAATCCAGATCTGGACTGCATACATGCCATGAAATTATGAATTAACTCAAGACTTAAGAGCGTCATATCCACTCGTTAAGCTCTTTGAGAAGCGCCCTGAGGGGATGGAGGGGGGGAGACACCCAATCCTCTCTCTGCACATTACCTCATTGTCATCAGCGTATAAAAAAAATACAGAAAAGACTAAAAGACTAGCTACTGATAAAAGAGCTAGGCAAAAAGAAATACCCAGAATCCAACACAATCGAAGGAGAAAGAGGGGGCATGCGTTAATTAACGAGCGACTAATCTCCGCCAAATTAATAACCGGGTCATGGATGTGAGGAAGAGAGGGATGAAAAGAGGAATGCAACACGATGTCTCTGGGTGCAGCGATGGGAATGTCGTCCCTGTCTTCTCCCCATAACCCCTCCTAACCTCTCCCTTTCTCCCCCGCGCTCCCATCACAAACCCTCTTTGTGGCGCTCCCAAGAAAACCTTCATCGGATGCCAATTTGCATAAAGGCAACAAGCAACGACACTTTCTCTCCCCCCTCCTGTGGGAGAGGACGGCGGCGGGTCCTCCCCTAGTAATGGCAGTGCAATTCTTCTTGTTTTAGGACACACACACACACACACACACACACACACACACACACACACACACACACACACACACACACACACACACACACACACACACACACACACACACACACACACACACACTCTCACACACAGACAGAAACACATACACACACACTCTCTCTATCACACACAGACAGAAACATATAC